TCGTGCTGAATCCTCGGTTTTCATGAATATGAATTGAATACTGGGCTGCACGGCATCCTAACGTAAATGTGTGTCTATATATCAAAACTCTTGCAAGGTATATTTTTTTAATGCTAATTAGAGTTTCAGCAAAGCATTTTCTGAATAACTGAGGAGTTAAGTAACTTGTCTTGTCAGTTTACACGTGGTTCAGGCAGTAATGCACATTTCCTTTCTTCTAGGAGGGGATGACCGCCGGGTCTTACTTTGGCATATGGAAGAAGCCATCCACTCAAGAGTCAAACCAGTTCAGCTGAAAGGGGAGCATCACTCTAATATCTTCTGCCTAGCTTTCAACAGTGGCAATACAAAAGTGTTCTCTGGAGGTATGGAAGGAAAAGCACCCTGATCTCGCTGGAGTTTGCATTGTGAATGCCTTAGAGTAAAAGTTTTGAGCAAGGTCCTGCCCCACATGAAGGGTCTCTTTTCCATGATCTCCTAAGGATGTGGAAGGTGTCCTTAATCAGCAGGTGACGATTATTTGGGAACAGGGAATTACTTAGCTAGCACAGCATTTTCAATTTTATCATACTGCTTCTCCCAAACCCTGGTATAAGTGCATCATGTCTCAACCTATCATGAGAATCCCAGGTCCAGTCTGCCACTAACTGTTTTGCAGACTGTGGGACATGGTCTTTGTTGGTCTCTCATAGCTGTACTGAGAGCAGACCCTGCATCCTCTCTGGCATGAAAGCCAGATGCTTGGAAATCGCTGCTGCTACTAGCTCATTTTAATGCACGCTTAGATGGCTAATGAAGGGCTGTTGCCATCTATTGGTGGATTGCTTTTTCTCAGACTTCATTTTGGTTCTCATTTCAGTCCTCAATAGATAAATGTCTGCCTTGTAGAATTTCTGGAACCTTGGGATTCCAATTGGCATTGATATTCTTCATTTTTAAAAATATAAATCCACTTTTTAACAGAGAGTTTAATTCAGTCTTAAAACTGGAAACTGGACATGTTCATGTTCTGGGGTAATAATACCTAGAATTTAGGTGAATTTCACCACTTGATTTTTGAAGTGTTGAAGTAGGGAGAAAAAATGAATTTAGAAGGAAAAGGCACAAGTATGTCAAAAAGCAGTCAGTGTAGTTTTCTGCTGTACTTCATTACCTTTATCTGACATTATAATAGAGTGGACAGGAACTTGTATATTATATCAGTATGTCCATGAACAAACAGCTAGGCTTACGATATTATGTGACTACTTGGTCGAAGCCCTTCATTATCTTTTTGAATCAACATTTGTGAACTGCAAATCAATGCTATAAGTTGATTCTAAGCACATGTGAATGGCAAAAGCTTCCCATCATTAAACACTTTGTTAAAACTATAATGTCCTTAAAAAAAAAAGGCGTGACAAAGCTTAAGGTGGTGTCAAATTTTAAGGATGAAATGATTCGCATATAATTCTCAGGTGGAGAAAAACTCCAGAAATATCAAATATGCCTGTCTTCTGATTCTGGGAACTGTTGTTAGTTTTATAAGAAAGATAAGAGTTCACACTGTCTTCAAATCAATGTATCTGCATGAGTAATTCCAATGAGATTTTGGGTTGGAGGCTTGTACTTCAGTTTGAATTCCGACAAATGGAACTTTACAAGAATATTCATGAAATGAGCTGTGCCAGATCTTGCTGGGGCAGTTGAAATGGTATTTTCTCATTTCCAACTCAACCTGTTGCCCATTGGGCCCTGCTGTCAGAGGCTACTGTTTTCAAAGGAAGGGCAGCAGTGTAGTTTGAATGTACCTTAACACCTGCGGTTAAAGATAGACATGATTGATCATAGTGGATTTTTGCTAAGATGCCAGGTTGTATGAGCTGCAACAGCTCATGTACAGACAAACTGGCCATTCTCGTCTCTTTTTCCCTCTTCTGGTTTCCATAAACACACTGTGCCTCTGCCAGAAATTATTTCCATTGGAGGAGTCAAGAACTTTTTCAGCTGCTCCACCAAGATTCACAGAGCTGATCTGCAAGGGTTGAGGCTGACTCTTAGATCCCTTTTAAAGAGTCATTTTGCTGTATGACCTAGATGTACCATCTGTTTTATCTCTGTTGGTAAAATGGGGATAACTATATTTATTCACTCCACAATGTACTGGGTACTTCTTAAAAGGTCTGAGAGAATTGTGGATCCCAAGATCTGTTAGTTGTAATTCCCCCCAGTATTGAAGTTGCAGTTGTATGGAAGTCAGAATACTTAAAAAAAAAAGCAACCCAAAACTCAGAGCATGGAAACTAGTACAAGGTGCACACACTTAATTAATTCCGTATATAAAGCCTGCCAATGGCTAATCACTTAGGATCTGATGACCTTTCCTTAAAGCAGGTCTTGATAGCAGGGGAGAAGAGATTTTCCACTTTAGTACAAATTGAATTGCATCCAAGGAATTTCAAAGCTCTTTGCTTTGAAGGAGCACATGTGTAGCATGCATCACATGTAGCCATTACAAAAATGGAAGGCAGGAACTGAGTGGATAGTGTTTTACATGTAATCTCTGAAGAGAAAACTAGATACCAAAGAAGTTCCTGTCCCTGTAGAGTACTGTTGCCCTTCTCTGTTCACACATACTAAGAGTAAAGCAGCATTTGATATTTAAGTTCCCCTCTTAGTAAGCTGAGTTGTTTTTTGTTGTTTGGTTGGTTTTATTTGGTGTTTGTTTTGTTTGTTTTGGGGTTTGATATTAGGTACATGAAAAGCTGAAATAAACCTACAGGGAACTGAATTTTTTCTGCAGAGGCCTGATGTGACAGATGTGGGATTTAGGCCACCTTAAGTGTGCTTCTCTGTATGTTCTCTGCAGTATTTCATCCTCACAGGTATAATTGAAAGGAATGGCAGAAACTTCTTGTTTTTCTAATGACCGTAACTGCAGTTACCAAAATAAGGGAGATTATAAATGGGAGAGCTGCCTATTCAATTACAGCTGAGTTATTGTCAATGAAGAATGAACTAGCCTGTCTTAAAGTAAAACACTGTATGTGGGAGCCTTCCTGGGCTGAACAGCAGTGACATGTTCTGCAGGGATGCATCCTTACCAAAAGCAACCAAGCAGTTTGTGGTTAGTTTTTTATCACCACCTTCTCCTCCCACACACAAAACAGAGAGAAGCAGTGTTTTTTCCATACACCATGTCCTTTTGTTCTTTCCCATTTTGGAGCTTGTGATGGAAGGTCAAGTTGGTTCCATGATTTCTAGAGGCATCTAGGATGACTCTCCTGTTCATACTGTATGAAGACAGAGGAGCAGAAGTGTCTGCTGGAGGACATTTTGTCACTGGAGTAACTATGCTACATTTTTCACTGGTGAAATACATAGGCACTACAGTAGTTTTACTAGGTATAACCTTGCCTGCAGTGCCTAAGGGGCAGTTTGTATTGCAATTAATGATCAAAGAACACTTATGTATAACTGAATTGTTTATTGTACTGTGGAAAAGATGAGCTACTGCAGTAATCTGAAGCTGGCACAATTTAACTAGGAGCCTATGCAGAAAGAGCAAGTGGATATAGAAAAATCTCACACCTCATTAGTCAAAGAGAAACTTTCTCTAAGTTCTTCTGTTGGGACAGAATACAAATTGAGATGTGCATGGGATAAATGAAAACTGAGTCAACTGAACATTTAAGAGTCATAATGTGAAATCTGGCACCTTCCAGTACCATTGGCTTTGGTGTACACTAGGAAAGCTTCACAACTTGATATCACAACTACAATGACATACTGAGCATAAAAATATGGCTTTGTGGGCTTTCTGGTTTTTTTTCTTCTAAATTTAATGCAAATATGCATCTCCTTAAGTATTTCTAAAGAGGAGGTGCCAAATTAGATAAATTAATATTCCCTGCAGAGACTAGAAAAAACAGTTCAGTTGCTATAGCATGAAATACACTGCATGAGGCAGTACTTTGTAGCTGTGACGCTCTTATTCTGCATGCTTGTGGTTAGTTTCCTCTGTGTTCAGTGGATGTGATCAAAGAAAAGTAACATGATTGTCTGACTACTTGGATTGGTTTTTGTTAATATAAAAGGAATTACACTGGCTGTCATGTTCATGCCTTCTCAATGGTTGCAAAACCCTGAATGCTGACAGTGTGAACTGGCAGCATTTGAACTGGAGCCCAGTACATTTTGCTTACAGCATCTCTTTTCACTTTCTGTTATTTGTTTATGAAGCATCCTCTGAGTAGGAAGAAAGGTGTTCTGCTACTTCATATAATGATAATTTTCTTTATTGCAAATGTCCCAGAATGCAAGCTCGAACTGAACAAAGAATGATCAATAGCATGATTAAGCAGAATTACTTGTTGAGCAGTAGCAAATGGAGTGGATTGGTGCACTTGGTCCTGACTGGAAGTATCACATGGAACCTTTCACATAACTGAGCACAGGGCTGACCACCTGACAACTGAGATGATCTTCTCTCTGCTTCAGTTTTCTTTTTGAAACAGAAAATGAAAAGAAACTGTTGTTTTGGTGTTTTTCACTATAATGCTTTTTAACCGCTGGAATGTGATGTTAAGTGTTTGTATTTCTCTTCATAGGCAATGATGAGCAAGTTATACTCCACGATGTTGAAAGGTAAATACACAGTTTGTGTTTCTGCTGCTTCAGGAGTTTCCTTAATGTTAACTCATTAGAGGCCCTTTTTGTTTTAATAGTCTGGGAGGAAAGCACAGTATTTTAATCCTGACACATGTTTTTTATTTATCTAAATTAATACCTGGAATGAAGTATCCTCCATCACCCCATTTTTTAAGCACTTGGTTCTGCATCATCTTTACCTTGGGAAAAAGAATGTTTATTAAATACATATGCTGTCCTGCAGACAGTATAATAGGTTCTGTGTAGTTTCAGACCCAGATTATTCTGGCATATATACAAGTATTGTGATACATATGGGCTTTTTGTTTTGTTTTTCAAAACACTCACCTGGCTTCTATTTAAAATAGCTAGTGCTTGCCCTACCTACTTGCCTTTTCAAACTGGCTGCAACTGCCTTGTATACATGATGCGTAAATCTTGCATTAGAGATGGGCAAAAGTAACTTTGTCTACTCTTCTAATGCTCTCTGAGGAATATGTTGTGTTGTTGAGGGGTTTTTGTTGTTTAGTTTGGCTTTTTCTTTTTTGGGGGGTGTGTAGGCCTTATGCATTATTTTGTTAGGTGGTTTGGTTTTTTTGAGAGGGTTGTTTTTTTGTATTTTCTTTTAATCACATGTGAAACTGTCAACATTTTAGATGCTGGTGTTGTATTCTGACTTCGCAAGCTGCTGCAAGATCTTTGTCCTTGATGATTTTCTATAATAACTGTGGTTTTTTGTGCTCTTTCTTGCTTAGAAGTTTTAACTTGTCTTTTTGATATGTAATTGTCAAATTAGATTGTAATTTGTAATTATATTTTAATATTTTTGTTATGAGGGTGGAGTTTGCTAAGTCCATGCATAAATAATTCATTTCTCTAAGGCTGCTAGTGTGATCTTCTGAAAAGAACCTTACTCATGTGACACACTGAATTCTGATTGATTTCTAGAGAGAGTTTTTGTTTCCTTGAATGGTAACACTCGATCTAACAACTGCTTTTTCATAATTTTAAATGCCTTTTTCTGTTACTGCTGGTTTTGTCCTGTTTCTATTAGTGGTCCATGAGACAATTAGATCTGTCACTAAAAACATCTATTGTCATGTGAGCAAAACACTGTTTTTAGATGGGATCTCTGAAGTAGAGTTTCCATGAGGTATAGAGATTGTATACAAAGTTTATTCTTTGAAGAAATAAAGGAGTTTTGCCAAAGAAATAAACCAACTGCAGAATCTTCTGTCTTAATACCTTAGCTTTCAGCCTCTCCATGCCACTGTTTCTTCCTTTTTAAATGATCTAAAAAGTTGGGAAAAGGATAAAGAACAGACTTTTTCTTTCTTATAGCTGCACAATGGCTGAAATCTAGGTACTTTCAGGGGACTTATTTTTATTTTGTTCTTTTTTTTGCTGCCTTTTCTACATGGAAAAAATATAGATCTGGTCTGTTCTGGAGAACCAAGCTGGCAAGTTGCTCCATTGTGAGCTTCAACTGAACTTTTGGATGATACAGAAGTCTGTCTTAAAGAAGGAACTTCTGTCTTGTTTTCCTTTTTACATTAAGTAGTAAAAATGTAGTCCATAGCTTTCAATATATTTTTCCCTTTCCCTTGTCCCAAGTTTAATCTAATAGAACTTAATTTCCATTAGTACTTTGCAGTTTCTGAAGTTTTTAATGTGTGGGCTTTTGGTCTGAGAGGGTTTTTTTGCCTCATAGCATGACATCTGAGTCACTCTGCATGGTCTTTTGGTTTGTCTTTTGTTGTAAATAAACACAAGGGTCTTCTTATGAAGTTCCATAAACTTGTTACTAAGTATTGCTAGGAAGAGAAAGCTGTAAATACTTTGCTTTTTAAAACAACATCAAAAGAATGGAGAATAATAATAGTGTGTGTCTTTTTTCCAGCACAGAGACCTTGGATGTGTTTGCCCATGAGGACGCAGTGTACGGCCTGTCAGTGAGCCCAGTAAATGACAATATCTTTGCCAGTTCATCAGATGATGGCCGGGTTCTTATTTGGGACATCCGAGAGTCTTCCCATGGAGGTGAGATCTCTAGATGGAAAAGGTCATTGATTTAGGAAGAATTTGAGCAAGGCAGGGAAAGGACAAGTTATGTTTATTTGGGACAGTTGAGACAGGGAGCGTTGAAGAAGGTGAAAGTGAGGCATAAGTCTTGTGGCTAGTGATAGGCTATCCCTGATCTTTACAGTTCAGTGTTATTGTCTTAAATGGCTTCATGAAGTACCAGCATATTGTGCAGGCTAGAACAGAAGTTGGTATGATTAGGTTGTAATTTGAGTAAAGCAGTGGAGGACATTCTTCTTCAATAAAAATGTCTTGTTAAACTTGAAATCAATTAGGTATATGGATTTATTTTTTTTTCTATAGCCTGGGAATTTTATTTTTTTTGTGTTTAGGAGGCTGTTATTTTGATTTGAATAATTTTGGGAAATTATTTTTGAAGAGCTATTTATATACTTCCCTGTGATGCTGAGGTTTGTTCTTATGCATAATGTTTTCTGATTGTGTGGAAACTTAAAACCCTTATGTGATAACAGGGAATTTAATGATTACCTCAATCTTTGTTTGCTAAACCAGACCTGAATACTTTGATTTATGTAACAAACCTGCAGCTTCTCAAAACACTGTAATCTGTGTTTTTACAGCTGCAGTTTTAAAGCTGAAGCATCTTAGTTTAGAGCTGTAGTTAGATAAATTTGAAGATAAATACTTAAGTAATTCAATTTCAGTGTAAGAATACTTCAGTAATACTTCAGTAAATTAAGTTGTGAGTTTACCCCAACCTAAAAAACATAAAACTCAGAATTTAAAACCAAGCAATCTACAGACATATAGATTCTGGTTCCCTTCCTTCATAGCTAAAATAAACTTTCATCTTTTTTTTGTAAGCTGATTAAATGCAATTACCTCAACTCATAGTTTCTACTGGTGTTACAGGAAAGTTGTTTGTGGCACTGAGATCCAGCCTGTGTATTTTGTGGCAATTGATACATGTTTGTTGTTGGGTCAAAGTTGCTGTTAGCTTTTTCCATACCTAGTGAATTGGATAATTTTTCTTCACTACGATTCTCTCTCTTTTTGACTGGGAAATGCAAGCTGAAACAAGACATTTTTTATAGTCCCATAAGGGTCCTTTGTAGCCACTAGTATCATGAGGCTTTATTGAAACAGAGTAAGCAGGATTAGGTCTTTCTTGATTAGCCCCACCAGAGTACTTGGAGTAGATTACTTATTGATGCCCTCCCTGCCCCAGGCATATTGCCTTTGTATAAACAAAAGTTAAATACACCAGCATTGCATTTAGTTTTCAGTAGTCTGATTCTTACTGTGAATTCTGATTCTCTTGTGCAGTTGTGATACCCCTTATCTCTTTCCCATCTAGATATTTTACTATAACATTCTGAAAAACGATGCACACAGTCAGTATATCACAGACTTTAATAAAAACTTCTGTAATGCCTCTGAGGAGCTAATTAATCGCCTCCCTCTTGTTCAGAAGTCCCTTACTAGCACAGTGAGCTGTAGTGTTCCCTTCAGGCAGTGTCTTTTTCCCATGGAACTCCTGCTAATCCCAACTGCCTGTAGCTAAACTTGATGCTACATGTGAATTTAGTTCCTGTTAGATCTATTGCTTTTACCCTGTATAAAAGATCAGTTACTTTATCAAAGAAAGAGATCAGATTAGTATAATGTAACTAATTTACTTCCGGTAAGTCCAAATGTCACTTCATCCCCATGTTTCTGTTTTCATGAAATCCAAGTGATGAGACCAAGCACTACATCTGGCTTTCAAATTAGAGGTGGTGAAATGCCCCTTTATTGGCTTCTCCTGAACACTACAGCATAAAGATCTGTCTATTAGGAGAACTACTTGTTGCTGATGGTGGATGTCAACAGTTGGTGGGACAGATGCAGCTTTGTGTCATAAACTAATGTCCAATCTGATCTGCGTTTCTGAAATTGTATGAAATTAGGTTTGTCCTTCTTTGATGTAGTGAAGCCTTGCTATTGCTTTTACTGTTGCTGAGACTTTGAATGAGAAGGCTGCACTAGTGAGAATTGAGAGAAGTATTGGCTGTGATACATTTGGGACTTACTTGGGTAGTGTCTTTGGTTGTCTGAATTTTTAATGAAGGGCTTTCACATGCTTGTATAGGAGTCCTGAGTCAGCATTTACACATGAACCCTGCCAATGTTTACTACAATATAATGCTTGTCATTGGGGTAATCCCCTTGTCTGCAATGGTATTGCCATGGGGATAAGCACTATGCCTGCCAGCCTAACCATAGTTAGTTCCCCTGAGTTGCCAACTCATTAAAAATCTTGCAAATAACCTGCTAGTTTAAAGCAGTGCATTAAAAGAAGCTGGAAAAGGAGTCTCTTTCCCCTTCTGTTTCTCCCTGTCTTTCACTGCTGAGTGATTTATGCTGTAGTTTTTGTAAACTCACTTTTAGATTTTGTTAGAGATGGTGATGATCTCCCTCTAGACACATTTTCATAATTGAGTATATAAAAGCTACAATTGTGAATGAGCATAAAGAACAATAAATAATTCCACTACTTTTCATTGAAGTGACTTTGTGCCTCATTAGTTTAGCTCTCTTTGACAAGCTGAAAGGCAACTTTTGATATCTTAGACAAAAACAGTGGTGCCAGGCGGCTTATAATAAAGGGGTGAAGGAGAACACCAGTAATTAGTGACAATGATTTGACTAAACAAATGTATGCAAAGTAAAACTTTATTTTTAAAAGAAACCCCTTTATTTGGCAATCTAATCTTGTGTCTCCACTCAACTAACACAGGCCATTGTTTCTCAGTGGAGGTTGCCACTTAGTTTTGATGTTAAACCTGATTTGGAACCACTAGCAGTCCAAAAGCAATCTTTAAAGCCTTGGAGCAGGATGGCAGAATACAAGTTTCCTCATGTTCTTCTCTTTACTTCTGTCTCCCATCACAATTAATAGCACCAGGGAGCTTCAGCCGTGGTCAGAAACCTCTGTTTGATCACTGCTAAATGAATGCTAAAAAAGCAAAGTCTCTGTGTCAGAAAGGTTGTAATAGAGCATAAGAGGAGGATACAGATGGGGTGGGACAAATAAACTTGAATTCTGTCTCAGTTGCTTGGTGGGCAGTAGTTTCAGATAATACTGGAAATTAGAGAGTTTTCTGTTTAACTATGTTTTATGCATCTTAATGAGGGATATGAGGAATGTAAATTAAGTACCTTCAGAAGTACTTGTGGGACTAATGGTTCCTGCACAGAGTGGCTCAAATAAGGGCAGTAAGAGGGTCTCCCAAGCACGCAAGCAGCACAGTGGTTGCATCAAAGCAAACAGTGAATGGAAAAGTCTAGCATAATCCCTGGCTCAAAATAGGCATTGATTCTCATTTCTTACTTGAGTGAAAGAGTGGCAGCCACAAAAGATAAACATTACAAAGATAATTAGACTGTGCCTAAAACCATAAAGCTCTCAGAAAGATACAGAAAAAGATGACAGAGTAAAGGTTTTTTCCCCAGTCTTCATGCAGCCTTTTGACAGAATGAATAGGGCAGAGTAGCAGGCTAAACACATTCTTGTTATACTAATCAAGATGAAGGGGAAAGAGTCTGGATGTGCAAATTTTTAGCTCTATATGTGAACAGCAAAAGCCAACTGTTACCATTTTTATGCAAGAAGAACAACCTTCTTGTCTACTTGCATGGCTGATGTACAGCACTGAAGAGGTGGCAGGCCTCTCTTCCCCAGGATTGGCAGCTTGCTTTCAGTTGAGTTCCATACAAACTTGTTTCACTTCTTGTAGTATTAGTCTTCCCTATAAGCAATTGCTGCTACATTTACAGTTTGCGTGATCATCAATGGTTGTGGAAGCTTCCAGGTATATCTTGCTAGGAAACTTTCAGAAGCCCCTCCATGTGTAGTCTTTATTAGATGACCATTTGGTCCTGAACCTTAGGAAGATTCAAATACTTGATCTTTAAGTGGCTAGTTTTAAAAACTGATAACCTTCCATAGGCAAAATGGTGTCTGGAAACCTAGTATATGGTATATGTCCTTTTCCATATTTAGACAAAGTTAATGTGTTGGGGGGGAGGATTTCAAAACCTTGGTTTTTATATTGCTTGGGATGTGGCAGCTTGAGAAATAGTTTGAACATGTCTCCATATCTTCAGATCTTGTTATACTGTTTCCATATGAAGCTGCCAAATGCATTACATCGAACAGTTGTGTGCATTGATTGTTCCTATATCTGAAATCTCAACTTTTTCCACAGAGCCCTTCTGTTTGGCACACTACCCATCAGCATTTCACAGTGTGATGTTTAATCCAGTAGAACCCAGATTATTGGCTACTGCCAACTCTAAGGAAGGTGTGGGACTTTGGGACATTCGTAAACCTCAGAGGTAAGATCTGGCTGACGTTGTCTTATGCTGTGCTATTTCTTTCCCTTGAGGGATGATGGCATGCCACTCCCTCTTGGTTTTGGGTGTTTTAAATCTGAACATATGGTGGTAGGAAAAGATGCAGAACAAATATAACATCAATGTTAGTAATGCTGAATTAAATTATTTCACATAATTAACATTCTTCTTCATACAGACAATCTAAATTGATTTTCAAATGAAGCTAATTCTTCAATGTAAAAGTGATTTTTTGGAAGACTGCCTGGCCTCACCACTGCAAATTAAGTCAGATTGTTGTTTGCAGTATGTTTAGCACTGGCCTGCTAGCACCAGAGGAAGCTATGGTGGGCACTGCCTGGTTTACAGTGTTTTTTCTACCCAGCTGTTTGGCTAGATATTGTGGTCAAGGCTGCTTTTTATTCAACACTTAAGAGTATTATATGATTTCCTAGACACCTGGATAATCATATTGGCTGTATAACATACTTACAGATTTGCACAGGATTTTAAACAAATGAAGAGAATAAGTTTGCAGTATGAAGCATGGTTTGACTGGATTCTGAAGTGGATGTATGCAGTGTCTAATACTAGAGTTTCACGTGCATGAAAGAGATTAAGCTTCTCTTGAAGTCTTCCAGTGTTTCGTGTTCTGAAAGCAGTTTCCGTTTTTTATCATAATAATCAGAAAAAAAGAAATTAAACATCTCAAGTAAATATTTCTCCCTTATGCCCTCAACTTTTATGTTTACATGTTTCTAGTTACAAGTCTAAGTGTAGAAAGGATAATTTAAAATAGTGAAAAGAGGGGAAAACAGGTACTTGTTTTACAGTTCAGTAGCTTCAATTGTTTAAAACCTTCTGTAGCTCATACTTTACTCTCTCATTATTGGTGAATTTCTTGGGAATACCTAGAAGTCTGTATCACTAAAATTCTTTGTGGGTTTGTACTGTACAGAGAGAAAAAGTAATCTCATATGAAGTTAATGATGACTGGCTTAAAAATCTTAAAATGTTTAGACATTCATTACAAAAGCGATCAAGTTATGGTTTCAGGAGGATTTATTTTTCTTAAATTGTAAATATTAATGTTTTGAGTTGATTTTATTTTTAAACTTGAATCAGAATTTGCATGCTGATGCTGGTAGCTCCAGAACTTGTTCACATTTGCAAGGTTTTCTGGAACTCTTGTTGGCAGCTCTTGTACAGTTTATTAAATTTAGGTTTGATAAAATTTGACTGGAATGGAGTTAGAAAGTTACGTAAGATATCTTCTCTTATCCTTGTCAAACTCTTTATGTCTAGGTCTTAGTTTCATGTTGGAATGTTACTTACTAACTTCAACATTTCAACTTCATAAAAGATTAAAGGGAGATAAATACAAGATATTAGGTTTATTTTGCTCTTTAAAAGCATGTTTCTTGGGTATTTTCCTGTAAGTTTTCTGTTATTTTATCTTCAGTTAATGCCTATTTTTTCCTTGTGAACTAATATGAGCAAAGTTGACTTCCTGTTGTAAAGCTCTCTGGTCTCACACTCATTTTGCATGAGCCAAGACTCCCACTGGTCTCTTCAGATCCAGTTTGCTGGTCTTGAAATACCAATCTTGATTTTTAATGTATTTGGGGCCAATTAGCTTTGTCTTATGAGGGGAAAAAAATATTAATTTGTAGGTCAGTTAAGATATAATTGTCACTTCCCTGAAATAGTAGAAGCCACAATTTCATTTTGGGGTTTTAGTTTTCCACAGTCTCTTCTGGGGAAAATACACTGTGACCTTAATTATCAGAAAGAAAAAAAAAAAAAAAAGTTTTTTGCTAAGGATGAAGTAATCCACATAATGCTGCAAGAACTTGTAATAGACTTTACATAGAACTGAAGTTATTATGTGTACATTTTCCATATTCTTACTACTAATCAAGTGTAGTTTCAGGTAAGAAGTGTGTCAAAACGATTTTGGCTGATTAATTTTATAGACTTAATGGGTTAAACAGCCCTGAAGTTCTCTGTAAATCTAGGGATAAAGAGGAAGCTGCCTGTGTAACTTGGGTGCCAGAACACCAACACAGCAAAGAAGGGCTACTGCATCATCTGCTTTTCTCATTGTCAGATAAAAGTCTGCTAATGGTGGAAGTCCGTGCTTCTGCACAGCTTTGTAGCTCTCTTTTATACTGCCATCAGTATCCAAGAAAATGTGATGGCTATCTGAGGTGTAGGAAGAATGAAGGAATAGAGCCTTTGGGAGGATACAATGTGGAAATACTAACTCACTGGCATTGTCCAATAGCACAGTATGTTCACTGTGAGGGACTTCATTATATTCTCTGAAGTTGTCAAGGGAAATTCCTCATTCAGTTTTGATGTAATCCTTCTTAACACTGTGGGCATTGTGGGAGTTTTTCAGTCCTATCATTCCACCTGTGGTACTAGCAGGAATTACTACAGCAGGTAAACTTTACCTGTTCTGTCATGATGTCTGGTAATGGGATTTTGATGAGGGGTTGAATAGGTAGAAGGAAAGGAAAGAAGTGTAGATGCTTCTAGATGTTATGTATTGCCAAAATAGTTTCTTCCAGTGGGCTAAGTAGGACTGCAGCACTCCTCCAATACAGGAAAGGTGAAATGGTTACAAATAGTTAATAATTTGCTGCTAATGTAACACTTTACGTAAACTCATTTACCCCAGCTATCGTCCTGTTCTCTGTCAGTTCTCAGATGGAAGCAGAGTTAAACTGACACAGCCACTACTTGGTTTGCTTCGTAACTAGTCACTGTTCTGGGGATTGCTTCTGCAGCTCCCCTGCAAAATCCAGAAAGCAAATGTTAACAAGTCTGGAATTCCAAAGACTAGCTGTTTGTGGCATTTAGCTGGCAATATACCGTCACATAACATGTGCTATGGCCATCAGAACTGGTGTGGTAATACTCTGGAAGAGGTGAGGTTTGATAAGCCATGAGATTCACCTGGCCTTTACTCATTTGAAGGGGATCAGGCTTAATGCTGAATTTCTGGTTTTAATCAGGAGAGGCTCCTCAGGTTGAGGTATATTATAGTTTTTCTTTAACTTTTTTCAGCTTGATGGTGCACTGTCAGAACAGGGGCAATTTGCTGTCAACTTCTAAACTTGTATGGAAGTCAGAGTACTATGGCTAACTGCAGTTTTAAACTAATATCTCTGCATTTTCAAAATACCAGATGGAGTGGTGATATCCTAGTAGGCTAAAGAATTCAAATACGGATTCCACTGCCTATCAGAAACAAATGAGCTGCATCTACTCATTTATCTAGAAAATGAGAATTATACAAGGGAGTATTTTTCTCCAAAATACACGGCTCTTCTTCAACTGAGTTATAGGAGAATTTGTCTTCTAATTTGCTATTACATTACTCTAGCCAGAAAAGCTGGTTTTGTCTGCTTCTTTAGTCAGGCAACACTAAATACCTCTACAAATTAAAAGTTAAATATTTTTAGGGTTAGAAAAGAAGTCCTGATTATGAGTGGATTTTATTCATATACTGTGAAAGTGGTTAACTTGCTGATGGGAAGCTGGAAGTGCTTTATGCTTTGCTGCTACAGTGAAGTAGGTAATTGAAAAGCCAGAATTTCTTGGCATGCCTGGGGAAATTTCAAGACAGTTGCACAGCTCTGAATTGTGAAAAGTTTAGCTCACTTCAAATAGTTGTAATTTGATTAGTCTTGCTGACTGAGTCAGGATACAGAGCTGAATTCATTTTGCTTTTTCTCAAAGTTCATTCACAGCTTGGTATCTCCTCTGTCTCAGATTTAATTCAGCAGTTAAATGAGATACCACCCTTCTCCCTCAGTATACTAATAGGATATGAATGTGGTGGGGCTGGCTCCTCGAAAATAGCATATGAAGCATTGTTGAAATAGAACTCATATAAGTTCACAGGTTGACTAGTGGTTCTAGAAATCTTACGTTTCTAATTTGAGAATGTATGAGTATTGCTATTCTTTCAGGTGGACGTCAAAGTAGAACCAATTGTATTGTTTCTTTTTAAAAAACAGTGCGTTGAGAAGCTTACATGTGGTCTTGATTAGTGAGGCTGTTGTAAGGCACTCACACCACTAGATGGGGACTGGAATCTGTGTCTGTTAAGAGAAGCAAAAAAGGCCAGTGTCTTAAACTGTTTGCAATAATACATGTATTGCAAATATGTATTGTAACAGAATTACTGGAGGCAACTCAATAAGTCAGTACACATATATATATTGCAAGCAACAGCTTAGTAACTCCAGCTATTTTTAGGCACTCCAGTTCTCCTTTCTTCCCCTTTTTTACACAGCCTCATGCCCATATCCTTTTTACTGAAATAAAAAGTTTGTGGTTTTTTCCCCCAATAAATTTTCCCCTTTAATTCTTTCTTTTCCTATGTTCCCTCATGTCCCACTTACATCAACTAACTTGGAAGTTTCTGAGATCAAAACAATTATTGGCCTGTTATATTAACAACCATCATATACTTTTAAAGTGGTTTTCTTATTACAAAATGGCTGCTTGCAGAAGTGTTTTCTGCTTATGATGGGAGTGTTGAGCCCTTGCTTTTTACACAGAGGGATCTGTTTGTGTGTCTGTGTCTAGGGTGAAGTCTTGGATCAGTATCAGAAATGTGTATCTCAAAGCATTTTTGTGGATCTACAAATTCCCAGGCCCTCATTCCTGCAATGTCCATTGCACTAATTCTGTCATTGACCTGGTTTGCTGAGCCAACTCATCATGCTCAGAAGTTAGAAAACTAACCTGGGAAAACTTTGTAGCTTTCGTATTGCCCAGCAAGTTTAACTGGTTTCAGGGAGGGCCCAGTGACTAACATACCTGACAGAGAAGAGGCAGGGAGGCCTGTAAGGTTGAGAACAGAAAATAAGAAGGAAGCAAGACCCTTCCTCATTTGAGTAATAGTGAATTCTTACTTTCAGCTGTCTATGGCATTACTGTTTTACTTGCTTCCTTTTCTTTTGCTACACTAACCTTCCCTATTT